AGAGAGAGAGAGAGACAGACAGACAGACAGATAGATAGATAGATAGATAGATAGATAGATAGATAGATGGATAGAGAGACAGACAACTGATCAAATCAGTATACCACAATACAGATTTGAGACAGTACACACAATACACATATTTTTAAACACCATTCAAATAATGATTTTCAGGGGGAGTGTGTTCATAAACAGATTGCATTTGTCTTGTTTTTGTGCTGAGAGCATAGGGTAGCCTACAGTAGTGAGAGTGAGCAGGGGGTGCTCCTGCTCTTCTACAGTTAAACACTTGTCCTGTAGGTGTAGCCAGTCTGGTTAGGCACTCTTCTCAGCACGGAGGTCTACAGGCCAGAAGCCAGACCGCGGGGAACATCGAAACGAAGTTACGTCGGATTGAAGTAAACTTCGGCGGACACATGAGAGCATTCGCGTGAATCCGCGCACGAGACACTACAGCGCCGCAGACATGTTCACGCGCGGGGCGAGGAAGCGACGCTCCAGTCGCTCGGTAAGTTACTCTCATGTCGTGGCATCCCGCTTTTATCCCAATCTAAAGACATTTGATCCTTTACTAAAGTCTGTCCTCGGTTCTTTGAACGAACACAGCGTGGCTTGAAGTTTTAAAGGTCCTTTTAATCCTAGCATGTTGTGTTGATGATCGAAAGTTACTTTAGTGTCTCGCACTGGACTTATTTGACCTGAGGAGACTGTTTTCATCTCTAGCTAAAGGCACGAAATAGACATATTAAAACGTACACTCCTGCATTTAATTTTACTCGTATCAGTAGTGCGTTTTGGGTGCAGCACGGATAGCTATCAATCATTATTTACTCCTAACCATTAATGGGGCATTTTTTCGTGATCTTGATAACTATTGTTTTGAGGAGGCGTGGCTTATTTGTGCCTACGTCACCTTTACCTGTACAGGTGACGCCATCGTTTGAGGATAGCGTTTCATATAAAATAAATGAATGAGTATTATTATGTGAATATATTGCACTGAATTCATTTAACAAAACAAAACAAATGTTATGCATAGTTTATGTATAAAATAATAAATAAGGTCTAATGCAAAATAAGAATTTTTGGTTGAAATGTCATTTTTGAAAAATATCTACATAAATTGCATATTTCCCCTCCAAAACTGTCATATTCTACAGTTTTAAGAATATTACAAAATGTTTTCATTTCACAGTTAGTCCTGAAATGCATCCCAACGGAATGCTTCATATTAAGATTCGTCTTGTATGTATTTTCCTTCCTGAAGGAAGTGCTTTCTATTAAGGAAATGTACAAAAAGTAAACCCAACCTAAAAACATCAGGACACGCTTAAGATGTGAATTGTATTCGATTATTTTGAATGGATTCGAATGCAACCGGAAACTCTTTGTTTCTTGAATCAGCTCTATGTAATGTGGGGGATCAGATGTTTACCAGATGGACTTAATCGTGTAGTCATGTGTATTAAAATGAAATGGAGATCATTTGATATTGTCCTTTCAATTTTGACCAGGAGTCACAGGCAAGTGTCTTGACAAATGAAAACAGACACGTGACCTTTTGACATTCAGATTTTGTCCAGAACCTTCTTGTATGTGCCATACTAGCTATTAGTCAGAATGTCTTTACTCTCTCCGACTCTACTGTGATCTCAGCATGAGGAAACAATGATGGTGGGCCTCATAAAACTTTTTAAAAGTGTTTTTGAGCTTTCGACCTCTCGTAACTGTTGTCATGGTCACAATCGAGAGGAAATTTCCCCTGAGGGTGTGGACAGGAAGGCACTCCGAGGGCATCCTGTCTCACCGTCAGGGACGGGACACAAAGGTGACTCAGACACCAGTTTTCTACATAAACATAGTATGTTTCTCCACATGCACTGTACATGTCATAAATTCATTTGATTTATGCTCTCTTTCACACTATCTTTACAATGCAAATATATCCACACATTAATCTGCACAATAACCTTTGAGAGATAAATCTGCTAACTCCACTCTCACTGGTTATCAAGTCATTGTTTTGTCTTCATGAAAGTAGTTTTTGTACTTCTTTTGCTTTCCTTTACTTGTTTTACTATTTGTACATGTTTTTTGTCATTTACCTCACTTACATTACCTGTCTCACTTTCACTACTTTCCTTTCTCGGGTTACTTAAGTTTAGTTTTGTACTTTTGCTACTTTTGTTATATTATTTTTTTGGAACTGTACTTAATTTACATAATTGCGTTACTCTCAGCACTTGTATTCCTTGCATTACTTTCCTTGTATTACTTTTGTTACTTGTCACTTTTAGCATGTTTGTTACTTGCTTTACATTCCTTATACTACTTTCCTTTATATACTTGCATTACTTGTGTTATTTTTAACACTGTTTTTACTTGCTTTACATTCCTTTATATTACTTTAGTTTAGAGATACACCGATGTATCGGCCAATAATCGGTATCGGCTGATAAAAGCAATTTTCTGCACTATCAGCCATCTGCCAATTGTTTAAAAACAGCCGATGATCAGGGCAGACTATTTCCTGTCAATCAAAAGGCGGCAAAAAAGAGTTTAAGACAGCAACTTGTGAAGAAAATAGTATTTTTTTATGAGCAATTTAGGGCTGTCCAGGTTAAAGCAATAATAACGCAGAGCCATTAAAGCAGGTTCTAATTGACCCTATGAACCACCCGGAGTTCAATCCAGGGTTGCCAGGTCCATGGTTTTTCCTTCACATTATTTGCAATGCGCCTCCCGTCACATAATCACACAGAGCTTCTGATAAGAAACAAAGCCTCATCTTTCAAATCCTGTATAATTTATCACAAAATTCAAACAATAAATGGCGTTTTGATGCTCTTGAATGTGGCGTGACAGATCGCTGTAGCAGCTTCAGTTCAAGCGGCAGCGCGGAGTGCAAGTCTATTCCACTTAAAGTTATAGCATGAAATAAACATTAATGAACATCAGTAGGTATGAAAGGTACAGTACAACTTGCCAAAATGTATAATGTCTCATATAATCAGCGTTTCAATCGAAAGACATCAAATGAAACGGCTTGTGAACAATAATGTCACTTAACATTGCATTTACCTCAGGAAAGTTATCCAGTTTTCAGAGTTGGTTAGTTAGCTATAAAAACACTAGAGAGAAGCTTGTTTACTGTTAAATTGTGCTAGTAATGATAGCGAATAAAAGGAAATGATCCACCCAGATGCCTCTGCTTAGCGACAGTGCCTTGATCAGTTGTGATCTGCGTCTCAGGCCGATGACATAACTTCCAGGGAGGCGTGTCCAGGCCTGTTGTACACGCCCCAGTCCCTTGACTCCACCCCCATGTCAAAACAATGCCAGAAAGTGAAACGCACAAAAACGTGAAGCGCAAAGCAAAGGGAAAAAACAGTATCGCAAGCTCACACTTCACTGAAACGCAAAATAAAA